ATCCGTGTCCCTTTCGTTGACCCGGGGGTGCCCCCCTGCACCCACAGCCCCCCGCCCCCGACTGAGCCCCCCGTGACACCCCCGGGGCCCCTCCCTGCCCCCCCCATGTCCCCTTTGTCCCGGGGGGGCACCGCGGGTCCCTCGGGGGGGGGCTGAAACCGGGGGGGTCGCACCGAGCCCCCCCGGGGGGCGGCACCGCCCTGCCCCCCCAGCGGACCCCCAGGCCGCCCCCGGAGATCTGGAAAGGTCTGTGCCACTCACGGCCACTGTCACCGCCACTGTCACCGCCACCGTCCCCTTGCGGTCGCCCACGGGTGCTGGCACCGCTCAAGGACCCTCTGCGTCCCCCCCCGGCCCCCTCTGAGCCCCTCCCAAGCTCTGGGGGACCCCCGGGTGAGGGGGAGCCACCCCCAAGTCCCCACCGGCACAGCCACCAAGGGATGTCCCCTCTGTCCCCTTCATCCCCCCGACGGGGCTCCCCCGGGATCGGGGGGTGACAGGGATGTCCCCCCGGGATCGGGGGGTGACAGGGGACTGTGGCCTTGGCCGTGGCCCCCCCGCCCTCCTGCTCTGGCAGGAGCTGGCCCGGGGGGACGCAGGGATGGGGGTGGCAGCCAGCAAAGTGTCACCGTCCCTGTCACCGGCGTGGTGGGGCTGCAGGGCGGGGACAGGGCTGGGAGTGGGGACCTGCCGTGGGGACAGGGACATGGGACATGGATGGGGACAGGGACATGGGACATGGATGGAGGTGTGGGGTGGGCACAGGGACATGGAGTGGAGACAGTGCCGTGGAGATGGGGACACGGGCTGGGGACAGTGCTGTGGAGATGGGGACACGGGCTGGGGACAGGGACACGGGGCGGGGATGGAGGTGTGGGATGGGGACAGGGACATGGGAGGGACACGGGGAGGAGCAGGATCACGGGCTGGGGATGACGTGGGCTGGAGCAGGGACACGCTCACTGCTGGCAGGTGATGGTGGCACCTCAGCCCAGGCCCAGGTGACGTCGGTGAGGAGCCAGCTGCCCGGTGGTGGCCTCGGAGCCGCTTCCTGCTGTCCCTGGGGTGGCACCTCAGGTGGCACCAGCCCTGGAGCTGCCCCGGGGATCCCGGAGTGCCACCAGCGGGGGATCCCCACAGAGGCCTCGGGGACACCCCTGCCACCGGGACCCCGAGCTGGGGACATCGTCTCGGACCGGCCACAGAGCCACGGGCTGCCCACGGGGACAGTGACCACCCACGGGGCCACGGGGCCACTGCCCGGCCATGGGGACTCGAACGTGTGCTGTCACCGCCCTGGGACACGGCTCCGACACCCTGGATCGGGCACTGCCACCCCCAGTGCCACCGGGGACATGGGCCACGTCCCTGCAGTGCTGGGGGACAGACAGACCTGGCAGCGACCGTGACACCGAGCACCGGCCCCACTGGTGACACCAAGAAACAGCTCCTGAGGTGACACCGAGCACTGGCCTCATTGGGGACACCAAGAAACAGCTCCTGAGGTGACACCGAGCACTGGCCTCATTGGTGACACCAAGAAACAGCTCCTGAGGTGACACCGAGCACTGGCCCCACTGGTGACACCAAGAAACAGCTCCTGAGGTGACACCGAGCACTGGCCTCATTGGTGACACCAAGAAACAGCTCCTGAGGTGACACCGAGCACCGGCTCCTCTGGTGACAGCGACCACCAGCCCCGTTGGTGACACCAAGCATGGCTCCACCGGTGACACCGAGCATGGCTCCTCTGGTGGCCTCCTGCCACCCCCCGGTGCTCTGGTGGCTGCGGGACAGAGCCTGGGGACAGCCAGGGTGTGCTGGTAGGAGTTGGTGGCACTGCTCTGTCCCATGCCACCATCGCTCTGTGCCGTGGCAATGTCACTCTGTGCCGTGTCCCCAGTGTCTGTTCTGTGTCCCCATCGCTCTGTGTCACATCAGCATTGCTCTGTGCCGTGTCACCTCACTCTGTGCCGTGTCACCATCGCTCTGCGCCGTGTCCCCACGGGTCTGTGCCACATCCGTGTCACTCTGTGCCACATCCCTGTCACTCTGTGCCACATCCATGTCCCTCTGTGCCACATCTGTGTCCATTTGTGCCACATCCCTGTCACTCTGTGCCACATCCGTGTCCCTTTGTGCCACATCCCTGTCACTCTGTGCCACATCCATGTCCCTCTGTGCCACATCCGTGTCCCTTTGTGCCACGTGGCAATGTCACTCTGTGCCGTGTCCCCAGTGTCTGTTCTGTGTCCCCATCGCTCTGTGTCACATCAGCATTGCTCTGTGCCGTGTCACCTCACTCTGTGCCGTGTCACCATCGCCCTGCGCCGTGTTCCCATGGGTCTGTGCCACATCCGTGTCACTCTATGCCACATCCATGTCCCCCTGTGCCACATCCCTGTCAGTCTGCGCCACGTCCCTGCCATTCTGTGCCATGTCACCTCACTCTATGCCACATCCATGTCCCCCTGTGCCACATCCCTGTCAGTCTGTGCCACATCCATGTCCCTCTGTGCCACATCCATGTCCCTCTGTGCCATGTCCCTGCCACGCTGTGCCACCCCCATCTCCTCCATGTTGTCCCATGTCCCCGCGGGCTGTGCCACATCCCCATCACTGGGTGCCGTGTCCCTGTCACTCCGTGCCACATCCCTGTCCCTCTGTCATGCCCAGGGTGCTGTGCCACGTCCCCAGCACTCCGTGGCAGGTCCCTGTCCCTCTGTGCCACCTCTCACGGCTGCCAGTGTCACAGCAGCGCGCGCGTGGCAGGTGACCCGCGGGGGGTGGCAGGCAGGGGTGGCAGCGTCCCCCGTCCCCCGGGCACAGGGGACAGCCTGGGGCTGGCCCACAGCAGCGCGCCCGTGGCAGGTGGCACGTGGCAGGTGACACGCGGGGGGTGGCAGGCAGGGGTGGCAGCGTCCCCCGTCCCCCGGGCACAGGGGACAGCCTGGGGCTGGCGGGGACCTCGGGGCTCGGGGGCCGTGTGGCACCACGGGCCCCGCGCGTCCCCGTCATCGTCGCTCCTTGTCACCGCTCCCCTGTCACCGCGGGGCCACCGTCCCTGTCCCTCTCGGGTCTTTTTGCGGTCTGGGCTTGCTGTCCCTCCCAGCCAGGAAGCCCTTACCCCAAAAAGCATCCGCGGGGGGCCGAGCAGCGCGACCCAGGTGAGTGGGGGGCCTCGGCCTTTGGGGACAGCGGGGGGACAGCAGAAATGGGGCCACGAGGCCACCACAGCTCCTGGCATGGCCGGGGACCTGCGGGGGGGTGACGCTGGGGACACCCCAGGGCTGGGGGAGGTGACACCGCGGGGGGCACAACAGGTCCCCAGTGCCCCCAGTTTGGGTCCCCATCGCTGCCCAGCGGCGGGGGAGGGGCCGAGGGGCTCTCGGTGGCCCTGCCACCCCCCGGTGGCACTGGGTGGTGGGGACGGGTCCCTGGACGGGGTGGGGACAGGGATGGGGACATGAGTGACAGTGGGGACAGGGCTCTGGGACGAGGTTTGGGGACACAAGGGGCGCTGGCAGAGAGATGACAGGGACCGGGACACGAGGGATGCCAGGTGGGAGGGGACACGCCGTGACGTCACCCAGGTCACCGTGCTGGCTGCGGGGCGCTCTGCGTGTCCCCAGTGTCCCGGCCCTGCCAGCGCCTGCCGGGCACTGGTGTCACCGGTGTCACCGCCGGCCTTCCCGGAAGGGCCACCACAGTGTTTGCCGAGTGTCACCACCGCGGTGGCACCAACTCCGGCGTCACCAGCGCGGTGACAGCCCCGCCTGGGGACCCCCACGGCGACACAGCCTGGGGACACCCCTCCCTCCCGCTGGGGACACCCCGGGCCGGGTGACAGGGACAGGTGGTGGGGACAGGGACCGCTCTGTCCCCCCAGTGACAGCGTGGGGGTGGCCCCCGGCAGAGCGCCCCTCCCCCGTGTCCCCCCGGCGGTATCCCCCCGGGGGTGTCCCCGGCGGGGGGGACAGGGCTCCGGGGGCTCCCGGGGACACCTGGGACCCTGGAGGACACCGGTGCTGCCCCTGTTCTGTCCCCATCCCGAGCCAGGTGTGTGAGTGCCACGCGCGGGGACACGGGGAGGGGACACGAAGGATGTGGGGACACGGTGGGGGGACACGGGGGGAGCAAGGGCGGGTACAGAGCGGGGTGATGGGGACACGGAGGGGACACCGGGGGGACGACACCCCGCTCAGGGACATCCCCAGCCCCTCCCTGGGACCCCCACCCTGGGACGTCTCCCCGGTCCCCTCACCCCGGGGGTCCCGGCGGGTGCAGCCCCGGGGGGACCCCAGTGTCCCCCCCACCCCCTGAGGACCTGCGGGCTCGCTGTCCCGGGCCTGGCTGGGACCGGAGCTCCCGGGGGGTCTGGGCACCCCCTTGTCCCTGTCATTGTCTCCCCGTCCCCTGCTGTCCCCGAGGTGGTGGCAGTGCCACCAGCCGTGTCCCCCGGCCCCGCGGGGACACCGGGGGTGACCCAAGGGACCACGGGCCGTCCCCGCCCGGGCCGGTGGGCTGGTGGCACTGGGGGGCCTGGCGGGGTCCCCGTGTCCCCCCCGTCACCCGGCGCCGCCTTCGTTCCAGGCTCGGCGAGTGCGTGCGAGGCTCCGGTGAGTGGCACTGTCCCCACGTCCCCTCGGCTTCCCCGTGTCCCCTGTCCCCGTGTCACCAGCACATCCCCGTGTTCCCGCATCCCTGTGTCCCCTCCACCCGCGTGTCCCCCCGTCCCTGTGTCACCCGTGTCCCCGTGTCCCCCCGTCCCTGTGTCACCCGTGTCCCCACGTCCCCCCCCTCCCCAAGCCGTGGGTGACGAGGTCACCCCAGTGTCCATCCCGCACCCACCGAGCGCGGGGGGTCCCCGGGGAGGTGACACAACCTTGGGGACACAACGCCCACCCTGAACCTCCCCCCCACCCCGAGCAGCGTCCCCTGCCCTCACTGTCCCTGTCCCTGTCGCTGTGTCTGTCCCTGTCCCTCTCGCTGTCCCCGTCCCTGTCCCTGTCGCTGTCGCTGTCCCTGTCGCTGTCCCTGTCCCTGTCCCTGTCCCCGTCCCCGTCCCCGCATGTCACGGCCGGGCCGCGGTGGCCCCGGTGACAGATGCCAAAGGGCTCCGGGAAGGCGTCAGGGACACGGCCCGAGCGGCACGTGCCGCCGGGGACACGGTGGCACCGGGACGCGGTGACGAGGGCTCCGGAGTCCAGGCGCCACCGGCGCCGCTTCCCGCACGTCCCTGCTGTGTCCCCTGTCCCGTCCGCGGTGCCACCCCCGGGCTGGGGGTTTGGGGTGGGTTTCGGGGGGCGGTGCCAGCCGTGTCCCCGCGTCCCCAGAGGCCGGCGGGATGCGGTGTGGCGGCGTGTCGCTGTGGGGGCTGCTGTGCCTGGCGGTGGCCGTGGCCGGGGGTCGCCCCGTGCGGCTCGAGAGGGTCCGGGCGGACGCGCGGGCCCTGACCCGGACCCTGAGCACGCGGCTGCAGCAGCTCCAGGTGACCCCGGGGACACGGGGGGGCCGAGCTGTGACACCCGTGACACCCGGGAGGGGCTGGGGGGTGTCCCCAGACACTGGGGGGCTGCTCCTCACCTGGGGGGATCCTGCTCCCCAAAGTGGGCCGGGGTCCCCGGGGGGGAGGGTCTCCCATGGAGGGGGGTCCCCAGGAAGGGGCGCCTGGAGCTGGGTGGGTGTGGGGGCTCTGACCCCAAATCGGGCATCTCCAGGGAGAGAGGTGGGGGCTGCACCCCCAGGCATGGGGTCTGGGGGAGATTTGGGGGGCTGCACCCCCAGGGATGGTGTCTGGGAGAGATTTGGGGGTCTGCACCCCCAGGGCTGGGGTCTGGGGAGATTTGGGGGTCTGCACCCCCAGGGATGGGGTCTGTGGGAGATTTGGGGGCCCTGGCGCGGCTCCGCGGCTGCCTGGACGGGGTGGCCGCCCGCCTCGAGGGGGTCCCCGCGTGTTAGGGACCCCCGGGACCCCCCGGACACCGCCAGGACCCACAGGGACACCCCAGGACCTCAGCGGGGCCCACCAGGACCCCGGACAGGAGCAGGAGCTCAGCGGGGACACCACGAGTGGCCCCGGGCACCGGCGTGACTCCGGCTGCTCCAGCGCCTTTTTCTACTTTACTATTATTATTATTATTATTAGTTATGATTAATTTATTTAATGTAAAGCCCCTTTTCCAGCAGCCTCAGTCGTGTCTCTGATGACTCTGGGGACAAGGGACTCCCCTGAGAAACAGATCCGCAGTGTCACAGGGGCACCTGGGGACAAGGGACCCCCCTGGGGTCTGTTCCCCGAGGGTTGGGGGTCCCTAAGGAGGGGCAGCCATAGCTGGGGGGCTCTGTGCCCCATACTGGGGTCCCCAGGGGGTGTCCCCCCCCCAGCCCTGACCCCCGCCTGGGTGTCCCCCCAGCTGTTCCCGCTGACCCTGCGCGTCACCGGCCTGGAGGGGGTCCCGGAGGGGGGTCTCCCGGAGGGGGGGGTCGCGCCGGGGCTGGGCTGGGCCGCCCAGCGCCTCCAGCTCTTCCAGCGGCTGCTGGCGGCCCTGCCCGGGGGCGACCTGCGCCTGGCCCAGGTGGCCAACGACCTGGAGAACCTGCGCAGCCTGCTGGCCGTGCTGGGGGCGCTGCTGGGCTGCCCCCCGCCCCGCGACCCCCCCCCCGGCGTGACTCCGGCTGCTCCAGCGCCTTTTTCTACTTTACTATTATTATTATTATTAGTTATGATTAATTTATTTAATGTAAAGCCCCTTTTCCAGCAGCCTCAGTCGTGTCTCTGATGACTCTGGGGACAAGGGACTCCCCTGAGAAACAGATCCGCAGTGTCACAGGGGCACCTGGGGACAAGGGACCCCCCTGGGGACACGGGACCCCCCCAGGACATGGGGGCACCTGGAGACACGGGACTCCCCTGGGGACAAGGGACCCCCTGGGACATGGGGGCACCTGGGGACAAGGGACCCCCCTGGGGACAAGGGACTCCCCCGGGGACACGGGACCCCCCCGGGACACGGGGGCACCCGGGGACAGGGGGCTGTGGGGCCCTGGGAGGACAAGGGACCCCCCCAGGACATGGGGGCACCTGAAGACACAGGACTCCCCCGGGACACGGGACCCCCCCCGGGACATGGCGGCACCTGGGGACAAGGGACCCCCCTGGGGACAAGGGATCCCCCGGGGACACGGGACCCCCCCGGGACACGGGGGCACCCGGGGACAGGGGGCTGTGGGGCCCTGGGATCTGCGGGCCCCCAGGGCAGGGGTGACGCGGGGACACGGCCCCGGTGACTCAGTGGCAGCTGATGACTCGCTGGTGGCTTTGCCATCCCCCGGCCTGGTGTGACCCTGACCCGGAGCCGAGCTGGGGACACGGGGGGGGCTGGGACCCCCAGTGACGGGGAGACGAGGAGAGGAACAAGGGGACAAAGGGGACAGGGACACGGTGTGTCACACACGGTGTCACCGACGGTGTCACCGTGTCCCCACGGAGGGGACGGCCCGGGTGGCCGTGTGGCAGGGCCACCCCCAGGGTCACCCGAGGCTCAGGGCCACCGGGACTCAGCCGGGACCCGCGGGGGTTGGGGGGACACGGAGGGGACCCGAAACTCACGGGACCCCCCAGTCCCCCCCGGGGGCCTCCACCACCCCTCCAGGGCCCCCCCACCCAGGAGAGATGTTCTGGGGTCCCCAAAGGGGGGGCGGCACTGAGAGACCAAATTTTCCTCAAAAAACTCGTTTTTATTAAAAGCCAGGAAGACACAGAGCCATGGGGGAGCACAGCCCGGGTGGCCGTGGGGCAGGGCCACCCCAGGCTCGGGGCCACCGGGACTCAGCCGGGACCCGCGGGGGTTGGGGGGACACGGAGGGGACCCGAAACTCACGGGACCCCCCAGTCCCCCCCGGGGGCCTCCACCACCCCTCCAGGGCCCCCCCACCCAGGAGAGATGTTCTGGGGTCCCCAAAGGGGGGGCGGCACTGAGAGACCAAATTTTCCTCAAAAAACTCGTTTTTATTAAAAGCCAGGAAGACACAGAGCCATGGGGGAGCACCCCCAAATCCTGGGGGGAGCCAGGAGGGACCCAGGGCTGGGTCCCACCCCCCAACCCCCCCCCAGAGCGCACGGGGGCAGCCCCCCAAAACCCCCCTGTAGGGTTTGGGACCCCCGGCACTCCCAGGGCGGTTTTTGGGGTGCCAGGGGGGTTTTGGGGTGCTGGGGGAGCCTCAGCTCTCGAACCACTTGCCCCCCCGGGCCGTGGGGGTGTTGCTCCCCAAAATCTTCCTCTTGTACCTCTCCACCAGCTCCTGGAACCGTGCCTCGGCCCCCCCGGGGCCCCCCCGGCGCCGCCGCTGGCTCTGGGGGACAGGGGGTCAGGGGGACCCCGAAGGCCCCGAGCCGGGGGGCAGCGCCGGGGTGCCCCATTCAAGGGTGTGACCCCAAACCCACCCTGGGGGGAACCCCAAATGCCTACCTGGGGAGGGGGCACCCGCAGCTTCTCCCGCCGTCGAGAGGCCTTGGGGGCTTTGGGGGGCTTGGGGGGCGGCTGAGCCTTGCCCTTGTCCCGTTTCCTGGGGGGAAAAGGGGAATTGGGAAAAGGGGGAGCTGGGAGGGAGACCCCCGGGAGGGGAAGGGAAATGGGGAGGGGGAAAGGGGAGAGAAGAGAGGGAAAAGGGATGGGAAATGGGATGGGAAAAGGGGCAGGAAAGGGGAAAAAGGGAGGGAAAGGAGAAGGAAAGGGAAATGAGAGAGAAAAGGGGGGGCAAAGGGGAAGGAAAAGGGGAGAAATGAGGGATGGGAGGCAGGAAAAGGGGGGGAGGAGAGGAAAAGGGAAGGGCGGAGGAAGGGGACAAGGGGAAAAAAAGGGAAAAGGGGAGAAAACGGAGGAGAAAAGGGGACGGGGCACAGGCCCCTCACCTGATCTTGGGGCCGCGGTGCGAGGGCACGGCCAGCACCCTGCTGCGGGGGGCGCCGGGAGCCCCCCTGCCCCCCGGGCCCTGCGTGCGGAACCCGGCCCAGGGGGTCCCGGGGGGCGGCCCCGGGGGCGGCTGGGGGGCAGCCGGGGGTCCCCCCGAGCCCGCGGGGGGGGCAGGC